CGTAAAGATGTTTAGCTACACATTAAACCCCTGAAATATCTTAATATAAGAAAAAGCAGTGGCAATTTTAACAGCATGTCTCAGTTTTTCTAAATGATTTCATTGTTCAGCTATTACTTAATTCCTCTGGTTTGCATGAATGGTCATAAGGCTATCTTTACCAAGACTGTAAAACATATAAAAATAAAGTTAAAGGTCCCCAAAATGTATGCCCTCCTTCACATTTTCAGCCTGCCAGTGGGCCAGACTGGAGTCTTTGCCAGGCCGATTCTGGCCACCTGGCCTTATGTTTGACCCCGATCTAAAGTCACAACTGTGCATTTTAACAGGAGCTGCTGAGTGCATGTTATTAATACATTTTTAAACCCCTAAAGCATGAGTATTGGCACAAGCCACAAATATTTTATGGTGGTCACCCTCTCTTCCAGCATTTTCAGATGACCTTTCGCGCTGAGGGAGATATGAGTGCCAGGATATGCATATTTCACAACCAGTCCACAGGACTGAACTCTGTCACCCAAACCCCGACACACTGATTGCCACAACGCGTCAGTTAAAATTGTGTGATTTTCATAGATTATTACATAACACAAAAACACTGAATCCCACCCAGCTTTATATAATTTATATAACTGTGCAGACACCACAGCCGTGTTTGGATCGGCTGATGTAACCCGTTGGCTCGTGAAGTGCACGACTTCCTCTCACAAACTGACCAGCGTCCTCTCAATGATACCAGAATGAACCACAAAAAAAAAAAGAAGAAAAAAAATTATATCTCAGCATATCTCACACGTATCCTTGGTTATTTCAGCCAGGGGAAATATTAGGCAGAAAATAGACATGACCGAGGAGAGAAGTGCTGACGAGGCACACGCTGCTGCACTCGGGTAGTTCATAATCGCACGTCCAGATAGCGAGCTGCTGACACGATGGGCACATGTGTAAAAGTGAAAGCTGATGACCAATGATAAGACTGCAGTGCTTTGTGACAAGCTATAACACACACAAATAGACACTTGACATTTGGCAAACCCCATTATTATTCCTTGCTCTCTGTCTCTCTTTAACACCAGCTGTGCACCGGCTGTAATTTAGCCAAAGATTTAAATCTAAATATCCTTTGTCACTGGATTATGAATTTCTATGCATGGTTTAAATGCACCCGGCCCCCTCTCTGCCCCTCTGCCACCCCTTCACCCTTGTGAGTGATGTGACCTTCTCAAAAGCAAAGCTCCCGGTCCCAGTCCCAAGACAGCCTGCCACAGCAAGCACAGAGAGCCGAGACGCATACTAACAAGGCTGAGGGTCATTATTCAAACTACCAGGCCTCAAACGCTTTGTCGCAGGCTGTGTAAGAAAATGATGCTCATAGCTCACTCGTATCATCTATAGAGCCAAAAGCAAGAACTAAAAATGTGCAGCTCAGCACAGCTACAGAAACTAAAATAAATTATTTACTATTCAGCCCTTTTAGCAGACAATTTATATGTTACTTTAGCTTGAACAAATCGCACTAACTTAACCCAAAACCTACAAGGACAGAGGAGCGAATATATCTCCAAAGCATTAGCTGGGACCTTTTACATGTCATTTGACCCATTTCACTAGATGTCGAACCTAAAAGCGGTAGCATCGTTAAGCAGGGCAGTGGCAAGCTTTAAGCTTGGGGCTAACACTAAGCCATTGCTAAGGCAGCGTTCCAGCCCATCTGGATGGTGAGTGCTCAGAGAAAATCCCCACCATAGCTTTTTAGATGGGATGGCCAGACAGCACTTGTTGTGGTTAAACACTTACATGACTAACAAATGATCCTTTGAATACTAACACTTATCTCATTACCTTACGACAATACTGGAGGAGACAATTTGCTAGAAATTCTACATCTTCAGCCTTATTACACAAGTTTTATTTGTCAAAAAAAAAAAATGAAACACTGATCTAACCCTCATTTAATGTAGACATGTTCTCTGAAACTTAAGATTTCATCTATAATCAGAGTAACTCATTTGATTCCTGATGCCAGTGCAAAGCATGTGGGGAAAGAAAATCCAACCAAAACACTGCAGCTATCAAGCTGATGTTCAGTAACACCACTACAATATGAACATTCATACAGAACACCTTCCCAATTACCGATATGATTGAATAACCCACAAATACTGTCTAAAGAACACATTGTATATCTATATAACCCTCAGATAGGCAGAACTCAGCCTAACTGTCAAAACAGGGAGTGTGTATGATTGCAGGTGTGACACTGAGATTGCAACAAACAGATCCAAATATGAAAAGCTCAAGTCAGTCTACAGCTATTCAGAGTAGTTTTAGGCTTACTCATTTGCCTGTCGCCGTAGCTGATGGCTTCTGCTAGAGGACTCCATCCCTGTGCATTTTTTATCTTTACAGGTGCATTATGGGCCAACAGGAGGAGAGCGCACTCTGAAAAGGAGGAAAAAGAGAAGAAAACAACCAAACAATGAGTGACAAATGTGATTAGTTCTACAGTTCTGTTACTGCTGCACTATCACTACATGCATTGTTATTAGAAACAATTTTAATATTTGCAAAAGGCCACTATATAGTGTTCTGCACATGCTCAAATTGCGCTCATTTACAGGACCATGATTTGAAGGGTTGGTAAAACGGGTTTACCCACAATAATGTTTCTCATGCTGTATACTGCTGCAGCACTCTGTGGACTTCCTGACTAAAGTGCTTCTCTTTAAGGATCCTCTCCCAAAAAAACCCAAAACAGTTTGCTTTAATCGGTGAGCTGGCCTGACAACATGTTTAGAGCTGTGGGTGCTGAAATCACACCACAACCATTGCCTTTAACTTATGTGAATGTAATCTCATCCATTACAATGTCAGGGTTTTAACAGCAGAGAGCAGCAGGTTCAAAAATGGCTCGAAAGCGACATGTGGTTGATATTAGTCATAACAGGCTGTGTTTGTGTCACTGTTTGACAACTGAAATAACAAAGTGTACATCAAAGCAGCTTCAATTTAGAGTAATTTCTATAAAGACACAGTGCATGGGCGCAGAGAGAGCAGGAGAGAAGCAAACAGATGGTAATGCTGGCCACATTAGAGACAGACACATGCTTACGCTAAACATTTCCTGCATGTCGGCGGAGTTGCCATAAAAACTAAAAGTAGTACACTTGGTCTTCAGTTACTCAAATGACAGGAGTGCATGAAGACTCTTGACTTTACTCATTCCTACAGTTATACTTGGCAGATTTGGCTCTAGCAAGGAAATAATGGCAGACTGTGAAACAGCTGTCTGCATCTGGATTAAGTTGAGGCAGCTGTTCTGTCTTCATTTGATGGCATGCCAAACTAGGCATCAGACAGCCACTTTGTTAAACAGTGAAGTAGGTACGGGGCAGCTGTGGCTCAGGTGGTAGAGCGAGTTGTCCACTAATTGCATGGTCGCCAGGGCAAGAAACAAATTCTTTTCTAATAGTTCAGTTTAATCTGTATCAAATTAAGGTTTCAGGACTAGAGGACTTTGCGTGGTACACAGACTACAAAGAGCTTTGAGTCAAATTTGTGTTATAATTGACACATAAATGAAATTGTGTCTCTGTGCCCATAAATTGGCTTCTTTGTATGCAATTACTGATATATGTGGATTTCTCTGAGCCTAACTAATGTGTCATACCAAGATTATGTTATCGCTGCTCTGCAGAGGTCAGATAAGACACGGTTATGCGCACAAAGGGTATGTGGGCTATTCCAACACAGGAATAGGGAACTGCTGCGTTCAAAGGGGGCTTTTAATGAGGATTCAAAATACTCTTTTAATAAAGCCATGTTAGGCCACGGAGAGCACGGCAGATTTAGTCAAATTTCCTGGGCTTAAGCAGATACTGGAAGATTACTTTTTCAGAGTGCTCTTGGTAATTTTGTTTAATCCAGTGCAAGGCAATAATAATAATAACAATTTTAAAATGAGGTTATTTCATTTTACTACTCTATGGTTCAGCATTACCTTTGTGGCCCAACATGACAGCCAAGTGAAGAGGTGTGTTTCCTGGAATTAAAAAAATAAACACATCAAGTAAATATCAGCCTCTAGCACAAACACTGTAAATGGAAATGGAAACATGACAGCAGAAAGCTTACCATGCACATCCTTCTGGGAGATGCTGTGGGTCCTGATGAGAGAGGAGAGCCTACGCACATCTCCCTTAAACACGCATTCATGCACAGGGAACTCCAAGTCGTCACTGGTCAGGATTATTGGGTTCTTGTTGTTGTCGCTGACAACTGATGAGTTACCGTTGATGTTGTTGGCATTGAGCTGCTGCTGTTGTTGTGCCGAGGTTTTGATTGACTTCTGGAAAGCCTTGTTGGACTTGAAATGCTTACCGGTGCCGTTAGAGATAGTCCCGTTGGAGGTCTCATCGTACGTGTCCATTATCTCGTCATTTTTGTTCGGTTTCTTGTGGTCCTTTCTCATGGTGCGTATCTTCTCACCTGTCATGATGTCTATCGTGCGGTAACTGGTGAACTACACACGAGGCTAACGTATGGTGAAGATGCGATATGGTAGTGGGCATTAGCAAAAACTCCACAAATATGAAAAATGCTCAGTCCTATTAGAAATTTTGAGCTAACGGCGACGCTTTTTCGCAACGCTTCTGTTATTAAAATAGCGGTACGCGGTTCCTAGGACACGTTAGCTAGCTGCAAGAAAATGAATATGGTTTGATTTATCTATGGGTGCGGCGATGAAAACAAAAAATAATGACAAACATTAAAAAAACCACACACACAAACAATGAATCGGGATAATAAGAAAGAAGAGCAAACGACTACATCGTTGTCTCTTCTACCGCGTCTCTCGGATGCAGGTTTTAAAACGGTATCGACGCTTTGCGGCTGAATTCAGGAGAATCGGGCGATACAACAATACTGAGCCTCAGCTAACATCTCTGCTAACCCCGTTAGCAGGCAACTGACAGATCTCGCGAGATTATTGTATTGCGTCATCTTTATGAGACGCGCGTACTTCTCCAGAAGCAACTCGCTGGCTAGCTAACGAGCTTGTTTTTGTGTACAAGAATGGCGACCTCTAAGAAAGGGAAGAAAGTTGTTAATCAAGAGGAACTTCGACGGCTAATGAGGGAGAAACAAAAGCAAGCCAGTGACAAGAAACGCGTCGAGTCTCCGTTTGCTAAATACAACAGTCTCGGCCACCTCAGTTGTACCCTGTGCAATGTGCAGGTGAAGTCCGAACTGCTGTGGTCGGCGCATGTTCTTGGGAAACAGCACAAAGAAAAGGTTGCTGAGCTGAAGGGAGCAAAAACTCAACCGGTGACACCGCAGAGTCAGCCACTGAAGCGGAAAGCACCCGACGACGAGGACGTTAAAGGAAAAAAGGCGAAACCTGGTCAGCCTTCGTTAGGACTGCCAGGAAATTTCTTTGAGAAACCCAGCGAGAGGGCAGCTGCTTCTTCACAGAAGACTGCAGGACTGAGCCTGCTGGCTGGAGTCTATGATGAGGACGATGATGATGATAATGAAGCTACTGGGGAGACATACAAACATAACAGTATGTTTGCACTGAAGCAATTTCCTAATGTTGTAAACCCGCTCAACATTTGGCAATAAAACCCTTTCTGATTCTGATTCTGACAGGTGAACAGGTGGCCACACATCCGCCTGCTCAGAAGGATGAAGCTGCAGGACTACCAGCTGACTTCTTTGACAGCTCCATCCCACCCACGCCTGCAATCTCCCATTCAGGCTCCATCCTCAAAGCAGACGTTCAGGAAAAGATCCCAGAGAAGAAAGACAACACAGCCGAGGCGCTCCCGGAGGGTTTCTTCGACGATCCGGTTAGAGATGCCAAAGTGCGCAACGTGGACGCTCCTAAGGATCAAATGGACAAGGAGTGGGAAGAGTTTCAAAAGGAGATCCGACAGGTGAACACAAAGTCCGAGGCCATCGTGGCAGAAGAAGACGAGGAGGGGCGACTTGAACGTCAGATTGATGAAATTGATGAACAAATTGAGTGTTACAAGAGGGTGGAAGTACTGAGGGACAGACGGGATGTGGTGAAGAGCAAGTCTCTGCCCAGAAAGCAGGAACAAGTGGACACTGGCGACAGCACTGAAGAAGAAGAGGAGGAGAATGAAGAGGAGTTGCTGGGGCTTTTGTCGCAGGACTGGAGAGCCAAAGGAGCTCTGGCCTGACTTTCTCTTGATATGTGTGACTGACCTCAGTTTTATTCAGAATATTGTTATAGCCTTCCTCAAGGTGGATGCCAATTTGTTCCAGTTTCCAAAAACTGTGAAGTTTGTGAAAATGTCTATCAAATCTTTCTCCCTTTGTATATTTCAGACTGGATTGGATATAATTCTAGTAAAAGACCTGAGTGCCACAGACACATGAGAATTGCCACTTTGTCTTATGACACATGGGAATCCAACAATCAAACCTTTAACTGTATGTTTATTCATTGGTGCTCAAACAAAGACATTCATAAAATCTCTCATTTACATACAGTAGCAGCATGGACCCAAAATCTATGCAATGGCGACCAAAGCCAGCTAACCCATGTCCCGCAAAAACAATTAGTCGCCTACGTTAAGTTATAAATAATGCGTTCATGTTACATAAAAAGGAACATGCAAAGCACAACAGAATTAAAAAATGCAACATGTTGGATTATGTCTCTAAAGCAATTTTTTTTTATCATCCCAACCCCATTTACAAGGTAACTAGATTAGAATACATTTTTACAGCATACAACAAAGTCTGAATATGACAAATTTATGATGTAAGTACAACATTATGAGGCCATTTAAATGGCATAAAATGAGTCAAGTCCAGAGTGACGATCAGTGCTTCTTATACTACCTGTTACATATTGTGAGCTATGTCTTCTGCCTTTCCACTGCAATTCTACACAGGTAACATCTAAATCATTTTGTTATTGCTACATATGCCTCATGAGTTACGGCTTTAAAAATCTTTTACGTGACTTTAAGTGTTCGTAGCCCTTCAAATCTGCAAAACATCAGGAAAATGCATAAAACAGAACCACAGTCACTAGATATACATGTACAGATGGATAATATACATGATCCAAACCATCTGAATAAGGTAAATGAGGAGGAACAATCAAACTTGTATCCAGCGTAGAAAATAGCATACAAAAGTATGTTTTTGGAGAAGTAAGGAAATTGTCTAAAACCAAAACAAAAGCCTGACAAAGCTGTTTATAGTAGTCATTTGTAAACATTCATAAAATTCTATCTCATGTTCTATAAATAAAGTTTACGTGAGTTGTACCAGGTGCCGGCAGGAGGAAAGTCTGCTATACACTGACAGTTACAGCCTCAGTAAAAGCTAAATACACAAAAACTTTACATCAAGATGAGACAGTTGGTCCAAGGAACGAACAAACCAACCAACAAATAAAGACAAGTACATGAACACTGCAAGTCTTAAGATTCAGGGTAAAGCAAGAGAGTCAAAATAATTCACACTTATTTTCCATGGATTAATAATATAAACCGAGCCGTTTGTTAACATAGGAGCTGGATGTTCTATATACAGATACTCATTTGGATTGCTGTTAAAATTTAAGATGCTTTGGGGCTGACACTAAGTCGAAATGGACTCGAGGATGGGGAGCGAGTACGGGGAATGTCAGTGTCACTTTTTCCACAATCAGTAAGATAAATATTCAGTTCAGGAAAGTGCAGCAATTACAGAAAAGAGGCGGAAAACCCAAACCCCACAGACCCAGCTGGGTATTCAATACTGTTCACTGCTCTCGGTGATGATGATGTGCTCACAAACCTAAAGCAGCTCTCAGCTCCTTCAGCGAATACTTCTGATCCCCGTCAGTGTCAAAGCACTTGACGATACGATGGCTGGGTGTTGATGTTCCAAATATTTCCCTCAGGTCCTCGTAGGTCAGACTCAATGAATTTTGTTCAGCATCTGTCTGCTGGAACATGCGTTCCAAGTCTGTAACAAAAAATATTTTAATTACAAACAAAATTTGTACACTTTGGAAATATTTAATTTTCTGCTAAAAGCAAAGCAACAAGTTCTGGAGCCTCCTCACTTCTGTCCTGTTAGTTTGTTTTAAAACATCACATAGCTTATTAAGATTTAAAGAAAAAAAAATCATAAAGAACATCAGGATTCAGCATTTATGATTTTAGAGTTAGAGCCGAAATACAAGGCATATACAACCACCAACAAAAAGTTGCCCAGTCTTCAGCAGATACATGTACTGCACATATAGTGACTGGGTGGAAATGCAAACTGCAATTTCCTAATTGTAAACAAATATGGTATATAACTGCCATGGTGTGGCTCAGTTTACCACACAAAACTGAACCTGTTTAATCCAGAGGTTGTGGCATCACTGCTTAGAAAGTGACCGTTCACAGTAGTGTCCTTCTTCCGTCCTGCAATCAATACCTGCACTCATGAAATTCAATTATTTGCTCTTAATTATGTTTCATTTCATGCCAGGACATTTGACAGAAATCTAATTTCATAGGTTTAGAGCATGTCCACACATTTACAGTTTTCTAAGAAAAATGCATTTCCGCACCACTCTAGCATTAGGAACCCTACAACTGAGTCTTTTAGAAATGCCTGATATTAGGTTTGCTAGTATGTGTGGAGATGCTAAAACATTCTTCTGACAACAGATCATTTTCATATAAGTGTGGATTTAGCCTCACTGTACTACAAGGATATGAAAGGACTGCGATGGTTTTGTTCTTGCAGCGCCTCAAAAGCTCATTAACGCAATGTATCCCTTTTGCTGAATCAATGCAAAAAAAGTATCAAAATAAGATTAGGGGATTATGCGCTGGGCTATTTGTTGGCTGAAAGGTAGTCTTATCATCTTGGTAAGGTTGCCAGGCAACAAGCAGAGACTCCTTTCATTACAGCGAAGAATCAATCGTCTCATTTAACTTCACAATAAAGCCAGCGTGTGTAATTCCCAATATTTTGATTTTTTTTCTTATGAATGCTGAGATATGTATTTTATAGTGTTAGAGTGCACCTGTCAGAGAACCGATGCCAGGCAGTGACACAGTCTTTGGACATTTTGTCCAAATATGTCTCCTCGAGCGGTTTGCAGTTAAAAAGGGAGGATGCCTGCTCGTCTGTGGCTCTGTCAGCGGGGTGGTGATCTCTGTCAGAAAATACATAAATAAAGAAGAAATAAGCATTAAAATGCAACACGGGGCAAATATGACCTCTGTGATGAGCTCCCTTTTGTCTACACTTTACCCTGCACATCCCCCGGTGTTGCTTTGGTTGTTGTAGCTTCGTTCACCGCCTCAGTTGCTGGACTTTCACTGCTGACTGCTGCTTCAGGTGCTGGGTCATTGTTGTTCAACTGTACAGCAGAAGATAAAATAAAAAGTGCTTACAGTGTTCCTGTAAATCCTGGTATCAACACAACGCCACAAAATCATCAAAGGGAAGGGAAAAAAAGGCTCATCATATTACTGACGCTTTGTTTTGAGCCGTTCTCTAATGAGGCCACTCTCTGATGAAGATCTGCCACTGTAGAGAGGAGGATGTGGATCTGCTCATCAGTCCATGTGTGGTGCTGCTCCTCTGTCTTGTTAACCTCACTCATGGCTTTTCTCAGGTCTGTTATGTCCTATAATGATTAAAAAGAACATGTCAACCATCTCATAGTTAAGGGAAAATAGATTTTATACCAAGATGTTAACAGGTTCAGGTTGACAGTGTACCTCATATGACTGCTGCAGTCATGGTATCAGGTAGATGGAAGTGTACAATTACTTTCTGTGTGTCTTTTATCTTCCTGTTGTGCTAATGAAAAATAATGTGGAGAAAACATTCTGCAGTCGTCTCGGATATTTGACCTAGTTTCACTCTGCAAACTAAAGCATCTAAGCTCCCAAAATAGATTGGCACTTGTTTCATGTATTATGGATGGAAACACAAGGCATGAATCCAAGAAATGACAGGACCTTCTTAACCCAGCAACTCCGTCAATGTAAGCTTGACAAGAACTGCAAAAGCATGCATGCATTTGTGGTTTAACAAGTTAATCTCGCTGTGGCGAAGTTCACCTCAGCTTCTGGTTTGGATCTGTGTAACAGTTAAGCAGATCAACTAACATTTCATCGACTGAAACGCCTTGGTCATGTCTGAGTAGATATGTCTCAATTCTGAGTGAGACTGAAAGTACATTAGACAGCAGGACACCAAGTTATTCAACGCATTCATTCCAGTGCGCGCAGTACTTGTTTTATGCGCACACCTGTCTCTATACGTCCATACATAAATAATAAATAAGATCTGCAGCCTTCAGCAGCATTTGAAGGGAGCAGAGATGTAAATAAAAACAGACAAGCTGTCAAACAACATAAGTGAAATCCAACTTTGACATTGACTCATAAAATAATTTTTCAGCTTTGCTCATGTGAAATACTAAAGCTTGAAGCCCTATCCTATTTCTGAAGGAATACAGCTACTGATTATTCTGTGATGGTTGTCAGCTGCCAACACTGCATTAACCCTTCAATATTTGTGAAAAACTGCTGGGAAGGCTATACTCATGGACCCTTCTGCCTCTCATACAATTTATCAACATTGAGAAACAGTCGTAACTACTGAGACACACTGAGATATATAACCACTGGCTACTTTATTAGGCATATCTTGATAGTGCCAGCTAGGATCCCCTTTTTCCTTCAGAACAACCTCAGTTCTTAGTACATAACGAGTGGTTATTTGAGATACTGTTGCCTTCCTATCAGCTCAAAACAGTCTGGTCATTCTTTTCTGACCTCTGGCATTTTCACCCAGAGAACTGCTGCTCACTGGATATTTTCTCTTTTTCACACCATTCCCTGTAAACCCCAGAGATGGTTATGAGGAAAACTCCCAGTAGAACGACAATATGCGAAATACTGAGACTAGCCCATCTGGCACCAACAACCATACCACATTCACTTAAATCACTTTTATCCCCCATTCTGATACTCATTTTGAACTTTCGCTCATCTTGACCATAACGACATGCCCAAATGCATGAAGCAGCTGCCACGTGTTTGGCTGATGTTCCTAAACATGCAGTTGAACAGGTGTAACTAATAGAGTGGTCACTGAGTGCATGTGGATAACACATGCACTCAGATAACACATGCACTCAATAACACAAACAAGAGGGTTATGTACATTCTAGAAGGAAAGTAAAAAATTAAGAATAAAAATAGTTACATTTAAGTGACTAAAAATGTTTTTTGCATGTGTAACTACACAGAGCAAACTATTAAAGGGAATTTTTTCTGTTCTCTCGTTTGCTTAAATCTGCATAATTAACAATTAAAACAAAACGTAAAACCTAATTGCTTATACCTATATACACTTTCTGAATCAAGTAGCTTTAGCCATTTTCGCTTCAGTTTAAAAGACATTTTTCCTTCAGAAATATTAAAGATATCTGTGCTCCCTGACATGACACTAAGACAAAAGAAGAAAAACTGAGTGTTTAAAGCAGTCTCAGATTTTTGCTTTCAGAAATTGTTTGCGCATTTAATGTAATTATTACCTGAAATCTTTCCCAGGTTTATTATCAACATACATTAATGTAACTGCATGCAAACAATGGCCAAATAAGGAAAAAGTACAATTAGTCAACT